ACCAATATATTGGTTAAGGACAATTATTAAGCTCTATGCAATACTGTAAAACGAGAATTTAAATTTAACACACGGTAGAAGAAATCAAACCTACCACAAGAGTGTCCAAAGAATCTATTAGCGTCAGTGAAAACCTGGGTGAGAAAGGAGGAGAGATGAAAAACAGGATTTAATGAAATGCAATAATTGATTATTAAATGTTCATGTAAGAACTTGTTATAGGCTGCCTATTACTAAAAATGGTGGACTGTGTTCCCCTTCCTCAAGTTGATGAACTGTTGAAGACACACAATGCTTTCATGAACCATTGAAGACTTCTGAAAACAGGCTGTACATTAAAAATATGAAGCTTCAGCAATTAATAAAAACAATGAACGCCTTCAGGACTTTGTCAGCTTGAGAAAAGATCAACCCCATCTGCCACGGCAACCAACACCCATTTACAATGGTTGTAGCATTCCCAGAGTCACATGATCACCATTTGCTACCTTCCTAGGAGGGCTTCTAACAAGCGAAGTCAACGGGAGAAGTGAAATTCACTTATCAACCACAGCAAAAAAGATAGCTAAATTGGACACGGATCATTTAACAACCGTATCCCTTTACAATAAATTGTAATATTTATTTTACTTACCATAGTGTAACTGTTTTATGTTATTAAAACACTGTAACCTGCTACAATATTCTCCAGATAATGCACAAACTAAAAATAATTGAATGAAATTAATAATATTCATCTATGATGCAATTATCAGTCAGATATTATTTTTGTTTTCCTCAATTTTGGTAAATATTCCTGTTCTGTTTATGGCTATTTATTCAGAATTTAGATTCAGTTTTATTGGATTTGTAGTAATAACGGATCCACGGAATTTCAATTAAAAGTAAATACTGAATCATCAAATAATTATTTCTAAATACTAACTTTCCCAAGGCATCATCCACATCTCCACGACTTGGTTCTTGACCCCGAATTCTTCCACGGCAAGTTAAAGGCATGAGCTCATCAGCTGGGTAAGCATGTTCCTATGGGGGGGGGGGGGAGGAAAGAAAAATAAAGCAGAATAATAATCTAGTGAAGTTGAAATGCATGGTACAATAGCAGTTAGATCAAGTTTCACCGTTTACTCTTACAAATGCAGGAAATAAAAAGGAACACTACTTCTATATTCATAGGAGTATGCGTTTACAAAATTAAACAATGCAGAAAGCGCCAAACGGTACACAGGTTTCTTACACTGGATTAAATCGATATTTTTCATGAACTGCAGTACAGTTAGTCCTCGACTTATGACTATGATGGAGCCCAGAATTGTAGCTATAAGTCAGGGGTGGGTTTCTCGCCCCGTTCCAACCGGTTCGGTTGGAACGGGGCTGGCGGCGTCCTCGTGCACGCGCGCAGTGCACGCATGCGTACTAGCGCCTGTGCGATGCTCCAGCTGCTCTTGGAGGATCGCGCAGGCACTGCGCATGCATGGAAGCGCAGA